CTGTTGTTAAGCAACGCATGACCGCAGTTGATGCAGACAGTGGCATTGTTGCCCGTTGAAACCCTTGGTCAGGGGCTGGAATGCAGCTCAGTGGTGGAGTGCATGCCTGGCAGGTGTGAAGGCCTGCATTCCAGCCCAGAATTGCAGAAAAGAAAAAAATATATACGTTTAAAGAATATTGGAAAATAAGATATTCACATAGTCTTAAAGATTGCTTATGTTAATATCACTTAACTTTATTATTATACAAAGGGAAAGTGTGTGCTATGGAACCAGGCCATGCAATATTATGCCTATCACTGAAATAATAGGTTTTGCAAAAGAAAAGTTTATTCATGAGATGCCAGACTCGAGGAGACAAGAGACCCAAGTATCAAAATCTGCTTTTCCAAGAATAGGGCCTTTGGAGTATTTATGGAATGAAGAAATAGTGGTCAGAGGTGTGGGGAACAGTGGGTGAGGGGCATAAAGAAAAGTGCAGTTATCAGTGGTCTGAGCACAAGTCATCAAACGTCATGGTTCTTAATAGGACACATGCCCAGAAAATGGGCATGTTGGCACCGTGACGGTGGACTTTTGACTCTCCGACGTCAGAAGGTTACGCATCTGATACTTGCACAGGTCCCAGTGAAGGGTCAGTGGTTTCAACGAGTTTAAGCTACAGAATTCCTGAAAACAACGTAGGCAGCCATTACCATGTGACCCATGTGTCAGAGGCGTTATCTACAATGAAGCTGACGGAGGACCAAGAGAGTGCAGTATACTGCTTTTAGCTACCTGAGCTCTGAAATTGTTGATGAAAACAAGCGACTAAAAGCAAGTAAAGCTAGAGGGTTCATTCAGTTTCTTCCTCAGTTTCCTGTGTGTTTCCAGTGGGAGATCTGGTAAATATCATCTAACCAACTGACCAAATTTAGCATCACCAACCATAAGACCATGTGATGTGTGCCTTCCAGAGTGATGCAATAGAAATACACAACCACTTTGGGGGATATTGTTGCCCAAATTGTCTAACCTGAATCAAATAATAGGAAGCACTCAGACAAATCTATGAAGACTTCTCCAAAACAACCTCTAATTTTCAAACCATTGAGCCTGTTATGATGGTGCAGCCTATAATCCCAGCTACTCAGGAGGTTGAGGCAGGAGGATTGTAAATTGAAAGTCAGCCTGTATAATTTAGCCAGACTCTGTCTCAAAATAAAAAATTAAAAGGGCTGGGGTTTGGCTTAGTAGTAGAGCCTTGCCTAGCATGTGTGAGGCTCTAGATTCCATCCTAATACCCCCCCCCCCAAAAAAAAATTCTGTTATAAAAGATAAAAAGAAAAACAGTTGAGAAGAATGTTATGAGACATGGATGAACATTCTAAAGTCAATGTTGTAGAATCTAGATTAAAGGAAACTAGAGACATAACAATTACATGCATTGTGTAGTTCTTGATTAGATTCCATTTCTCAAATTCAGGACAGTTTGAGTAAAAAATAAAAAAAAAAATAAAAAAAGCTGTGGAACAATCCATGTGTCCATCAACCGATGCACCTACAAATTGTGACAGATCCATACAATGAAATATTAATCAGTCAGAAATAGGAATGAAGTAAAGATGCAAGAGTGAATCTTGAAAACAATGTGCTAAGGGAAAGAAGCCAGACAGAAAAAGAACACCTATTGTACAATTCCACTTCTAGGAAATGTCCAGAATAAGTAAATCCACAGCAACAGAAAGTAGATTAGTGTTGCCAAGAGCAGAGGGGAGAGGAGATGGGTGTGACTGTTAATGGGTATAGGATTTCTTTCTGCAATTATGAAAATATTTTGAAATCAGTGGTGACGATTGTATATGTGATGAATATATTAGAAACCTGAATTGCACACTTACATAGGGCAAATTTTATGATATGTGAATTATATGTAAAATTAAAAAAAATTGTAAAGGATATCAATCCATTGGGGAAATTTGAATGAAGTATCCATCAGTCACTATTTTTTCACTGTTAAATTTCTTGGATGTGATAGTGGTGTTGTGGAAATATTGAGAGATTATTTAAGGATGAAGTACTTAGGGATGATATTTGCACTTTTCTTTCAAATGGATCAGAAAGTAAAGTATTGGGAGAAAGCAAATGTTGCAATATTTTAATCATTGATGTTCTAGGTTAAAGATATACAAGGATTCATAGAATTATTTTAATTTTTTTGTAGCTTGAGCTATTCCAAAATGAAAATACTGGGAAGGGAGATCACTTATTGAGCATCTATAATATACCTAATAGACAATGGTAAATTCTGGTGGATTGTGACAAGAAAATTAGGAATACTGAGGCATTACCCTGTCTCCTGAGTGAATCCTCTGTGAAGAGTGAGTTGTTTGATTCCCTTCAAAACTTCTCTTAGGCCCACCAGCATCAGAGGGGGAGAGGCAGGCTGCTTGTCTTCCAGGAAAGTCATTCTGGGCTTGTGCTTGCTTCTGAACATACTGTCTGATGTCATAGTGTTGCTGAAAGCTTAGTTCTTGTCCCTGATGCCAATCCAATAATGAGGACAAGGTTTTGAAAAAAAAAAAAAAGGAAAAAGAAGGTTTATTGCTTTGCTAGCAAAGGAGAAACACAGGGGACTCCTGTCCCAGAGGCTGTGATTCTGCCCATCAGCAGGAACAGGAGGATTTTAAAGAGATGATTCAAAGGCTACATTCCACATGTTCTCTGTTGGAGTTGTAATCCACTTGTTAATTTAGGAGATGGTCATTTCTGAGATCTTCTGGTGCCACTCCCAAAGTCTGGATTACTTCCTTCCAATGGAGGGTGTATATTCAAGCATAGATAAATCTGCCAAGGATGGGGAAGAAAGGTAATGCTATTTCCTCTGAAATTAGTGATGGGGAGAGATTAGGAAGGAGCTGGGAGAGAGGAAGAGAAAGAAACATGTCCATTTAAAAAAAAAAAAAATCAGTTGTAGTGGCAGAGCAGCAAAAGCTACATTCAAAGCATAAAGTGGACCACTGTTACAATAACATTTACAGGGAGCTCTTAAAATCTTCCAGAGAGGTTCTGGGGGTGTAGCTCAGTGTTAGAGCACTAGCCTAGCATTTGTGATGCCCTGGGTTTAATCCCCAGCACTGCAAAAAAAAAAAAAAAAAAAATCAATCAATCAATGCAATCTCTTAGAGAGTTAGTACTAACTTCATTAATAAAATTGAAGGGTAATGAGATGCAAGTTGGTTGAGGCTGAAGTGGGAGGGGCATGGGTGCCTTCAGTGGGGGAAGGCAGATGGTCAAGGCTTAAAACTCAGAGCACAGCCCATGAATTTCCGGTAAAAAAACAGGAAGTGAGGTGAGCCTGTGCCCTAATCCCATTGCAGGCTCTGAACAGGCAAATGGGTTCATGGCAGCTTCTTTTTTGAGTTTCCAGCTGCTCCTGGCTAGTGGTTAGAGGAGCATAATCTCCCCTATTGCCCACCTACTCGCATTACCCCATGTAACCAAGGAATCATCATCCTCTGCCTAGCCCCTTTTTCTTTTTTGTCTCTGTGCCATTATTTTCCCTCAAGGATGCTTGGAGAGAACCTTACAGGGCTGAACTAACTAGTGTTTACTTTTGGACCAAGATTCGGGGTCTCAGTTTGGAGCAGGGCTGCGGGTGTGGAAATGGCCAAGCAGCAGCCACAACATAAGGGAGGTTTTGTGAGGCCAACTGGGGAGGGCGGGGAAGATTGGATTTCTGGTTCACCCCTGACCACTGGTGCCTTCTGTTTTTAAAACAGACGTGCTTCATCCTTCCCAGAGCAGGGGCCAAAGATGGGAACTTGAAAATGCAAAGTCCCAACTGGAGAAATTGGGCTGCAAGAGCTCAACGCCTGAAAAATATTGACTGTTTCTTTTTTTAAGCTAATATTCCAAATTTCTTATGAAAGTCAACTTAGACATCCAGGACACAGGAAACAAGGCAAGAGGCCACAGCCAACTGCCTCAGAGGACCCGGGACACTTTCTTAACAACATCCAGATGGTTCCACAGAAATTGTTAACATCTTGGAAAAAAAAAAAATCAGCTGCTGGAGAAATGAGATTCAAGTGGTTTAGGAAGGACAGCCTGGAGGAGAGTCCCCGGGGATAGAGAGTGGGCCTGAAATATAAGCCGATGTGGTGGGATTACGGCTTCCTATGGCAAGGCTGGTGGGCTGTGGGGAGTGGGGAGTGATCCAGGGCTTCTGTCAGAGCCTCCAGGCTGGCAGGGACACCTCCGCAGAACCGCCTTCTGAACATGTTAATCCATTCACTAGCCTGGATTTGCAATGACTTTTTATGCTTATATTTTATATTTATTATTGTTGCTTTTGTTTTAGAAAAGGACTATTTGCCTCCCAATTTACTGTCTGTATTTAGGTTCTGTAGACTCAGAGCTCAAGGTCAATAGATTTTAAGGGTTTATGGCAATGTTTAACCCTGAAAAAATTTACACATATAGGTTTTTATAATCATATAATATAACATGTATAATTCCATACAACAAAATATAAATGTATTTTCTAATATGTGAAAACTCTCAAAATTTAAATTAGTGAATACTAATTCAGTGCCACAGTAGATGACATCATGCCAACTCTATCAGTTGGTAGGTTTAGTGTTCACTGAAAGCTCTGTTGCTAGTATGCCTGAGGCCTTGGGTTCAATTCCTAGTACCACACACAAAAAAGACTTCAATGCATTTGAAAACAATGTGTAGGTTAGATTTTCTCACTTCCCAAGAAATATTTAGAAATCAGTTCCTCGGAGCCAAATAAATTTGGAAGGAAAATTTAAAAATCCTTCCCAGCTAGGTATAAAGCTCAGTGGTAGAGCATGTGCAGGGCTCCGGGTTTCATGGGCCCGGGTTTCATCCCCAGCACCATAGAAATAAACCAAACCTATGAACAAATAAAAACCTATCCATAATTTTGCTGGGGAAAGAAGCATGTATCTTTAACATGCGATGTGAGAGCTTCACAAGGTGTTTACATCAAGCAGGGAGGAGCGGAGCCCGAGGTGAAGAGGCTGAGGGTCTACGGAGGCCTGACCGCAGTTCTGCTTTTCCGAAGAGGTATGTGTTTCTCCCTCTGTTCCCAGTTGCCTTCCCACAGGAAAAGGAAATGACTTGCTTGTGGAATGTAACTGCTTACACGCAAATCACTTGCTTAGAACTAAAAATGGAGGAGAGGGAAGCAATAGCTAGAGACTCGGGGTTTGATCAGCCTTCAGCAAACCTTAGAATTTATCATCTCCCATAACCTGACTCTCACCCAGGCCTCTTCCAAACCCAAGAGACATCTCCTGTCTGCCCCCAGCAGAGGAGGATTTCTCTCTTTGTCTGACTGTGACAGCAGGATGTTAGACCTGGTGAGGGCACATTGGTGGCCTTCCTTGCTATTCTCACATTCTAAATCAGGAAGCTTGCAGGAGTGGGGAATGAGCAGCAAGAATGTACACATCCCGGAACTCTCAGGCTGAAACGCCTGGGGTATTTAGTCCAAAAAATTCTGTGTATGGTGGGGGGCAGGGGTGGGAAGCAAGCAAGCTAGTACAGGAACCAGAATTTTCTCCAATAAGCAACATTACTGAAAGAAGACCAGAGAACCTGCCAGAACTGGTTATGGAGCATTAACCAGGTAAACTCATTAGATGGATCCATCTCTTCCTTTGGGAGAATATTGACATTTAAGCTTTGGCTTCTTGGGATTCCGCTGGAGGACTCTTCAGTGGAATGCAATGACTCCTTCCTTCCTCCCCAAACTGAAATCCGGGCTATTACAATTCCAAATGGACACGGAGTCCTGCCAAGTTTATAGGAAATTGGAATGACAGTGTGGGTTCCCACCACAAGGGATAGCAAAAGCTGAATGCTCAGAGAACAAGCAACATTTCCCCCGTGGTTCCCAAACACGTCTATTTTTATTTTAAGCGGTTCTGTGTTTTCATTCAGTTTTAAGAACAGAGGAATCCATATGGAATCTTCACCAACTCTACTAAAATAAAAGCATGCAACTTCTCAGCAGCGTGCCGAAATAGCCACAAAGATTCAAGGGTAGGTCGGAAAGAACTGCAGACACTCACTTCTGAAGACCTGTGAGAAGTCATCAACTAATTTCTAATGAGTACCGTTTAGGCACATGGCAGAGGACAATATCAACTGCTAACCCCATGCTACAGATCTTATCTTTGACAAAGTATAGCTTATCATTTTGTAGAAGTTATAAAGTAGCTGCTCTAAGACAAGCAGTTTATATTAATTTAAGATATAGGAAATATAAATGTATTTTATTTAAAGTGCAGGATTTTTCAGGTGGGGTCGGTTGGGGAAGAAGACTCATAGGTCTCCCTTACATAAAACAGTTACTTTTTCATTTTTTTTTTTTGGTACTGGGGGATTGAATCCAGGAGTGCTTTACCCCTGCCTTTTATTTTATTTTATTGGAAACAGGGTCTCCCTGAGTTGCTTAGGGCCTTGCTTTTGCTGAGGCTGGCTTTAAATGGATCCTCCTGTCTCAGCCTCCCAAGCCACTGGGATTACAGGTACATTTTTTAAAAAATTTTTTTCTTTTAATTTTTTTTAGTTGTCAATAGACCTTTTTAAAATTTATTTATATGCAGTGCTGAGAATCGAACCCAGGGCCTCACACGTGATAGGCAAGCACTGTACCACTGAGCCATAACCCGAGCCCATATAGGTACATTTTTATTGGTCATTTTCAATAAACTTTCTGTAAAACATATCTTATTTGTAATTACTTGAAATTATCGTATTCATTTATCTGTTTGCTTTTTTATGGTATTCTTCCCAGCTTCTTCAATTTCTACCTCTATCCCACTTTCAAGTGCTTCCCTGGCTTGATTCTATACTTTCAGAACTAGAATAGTGCCTGAGACAGAGTTGACCTTCAATAAATGATTTTTCCTCCTCATTTATCCAACAAATAATTTTTTTCTGTTCTTTAAAAAATGATAGTTGTTTTAAAAAAGCACATTATACCCATTTGAGTGTTTTGTTATAGTCATTGCTATTTGTTTTGACTTAGAATGAACATTATCTGGGCAATGTGCAACATTGTTCATTTTAAAAATATTTATCCACTCTGTACCAGGTGGAGAAAAGCCGTATCTGTGGAACATACATTCCAGTGGGAAGGGAGACAGACAGTAAAAATCAACGCATATTCTGTCAAGCGAGGGTGAGTATTATGGAGAAACTGAAAGTAGAATAATGGGATTCTCAGTGAAGCTTCCTGAAGGATGTGACTTGAAGGATGCAGAGAGCCAGAGGAAAGGCAGCTGCAGTACTGAGTGCACAGGCCTGGCAGGGAGGCCGAGCTGAGTGAGCCAGAGAAGTTAGAGGAGGCTGTAGGAGGGACAGTCGGGGCCAGGGGCAGGCCAGGGAGGGTGTGGAGGCCTTAGGCAGACTTTGGCTTTTACTCCATGTGAAATGGGGAGGCCCCTTGAGGGACCAGTGACCCCTTTGGAAAGACTTCTGGCTGCCGTGGCAGGGAGACTGGGACACATGGTTTGGGGGAGTCTCAGGACCAGATGGGAGGTCTGGAGTAATCTAGAACTAGGGAAAGTGATAACCTGGACTAGTGGAAATGGTGAGAACCTGTAATCTGGGTCCTAGTGGAAGTGATAAGATTCTGGATACGTTCTGAAGGCAGGGCCAATAGAATGTCCTGAGGGTTTGGGAGAGGGATGTCAGAGTTGGAGCCAGGGATGGCTCTGAGGCTTTCAGACAGAAAGAGCACTTTGCAGAATAATACCCTGGCCGGTTAGTGAGATGGAGAAGATTGTGGGAGAAGCAAACTTGGAGGGGACAAAAGAGTGGCTCTTGGGCCAGATGTGATGGTGCATGTCTGTAATCCCAGTGACTTGGAAGTGTGAGGCAGGAGAATTACAAGTTCCAGGGCAGTGTGGGCAACTTAGTGGAGATCCTGTCTCAAAATAAAGAATAAATAATATGGTCTGGGAATGTAGCTCAGTGGTAGAGTGCCCTGGGTTCAATCTCCAGTACCAAAATAACAATAGTCATAATAATAATAATAATAACAACAAGAACAATAAAAAAATAATGAGTAGATGTTGGATTGTGTTTGAGAGGCTTTGTTGGGGAGGCCAAGTAGGAATTGCATATATAAGGTTGACAAGCAGCTTGAGACCTTCACTGGCAGGATGACCTCTGCACCCTGTCTAGAAGGGCCAAGAAGATGCATCCAGGTGAGGTCAGCATCAAGCTACACAAACACTGAACCTGAAGCCATCGCCAATCCCCAAGACCGAAGCAAGTCTACGTTGTCACTGGGAAGCCTGCTGACAAACTCTAAGATTCTGTCTCTCTGAGTAATCTTCAGGGGTCTCGTTTAGTCTGTTGTCTTTCTGCTAGTGCTCTTTTCTGCTATATCTGTACCCTACACTATTTATTGATTGGAGAACCATAAATTTGTTTTTAACAACATAAGAGGCCACAACATGGAGGTTTAACTTCAGAGTTTAAATTTGGCCTTTTACTAGTAACTGGAAGGCCTGCAGCCAAGGAAATATAAAAGAGCTCTCTCCCGTCCTCCTAATGAAGAATCTTCTTATGTCTGGGAGGACCTGACAGTAGATGATAGGTGAGCCAGGGCAGGGAGGTTTCAGGTCCCCTCTGAGCAGAGGTTAATAAACCGCCAGTCTAGTGGCTCTGAAGGTTGGTGACAGGCTTATCCTGGAATGCTTGAAAAGTCTGCCACATCAGCTCCGGAACAGGATCTAGTCCTTCCAAACCTTGGGAATCTCTGCAGCCACGATTCCTTTATGACTATTAACTCTACTATCCTCAGTCCCCAGGGACTTAGTATAATCACCGATGAATGAATTCCTTTTCCCTTGAACCTAAATCTGAAACCTCACGGGCCTTTCCCATAGCATAAATAGCATTCTATTCCTGTGCATATTGTCTCATTCACAGGAAATAGTGTCTGAATTACATCACAGACGAGTTCTACTGTATTCTGTTGACGTTTATTGTGGAACCATTGTGAGAATGACATGGTTCCTGTCCCCAGTAAGTTACTATATCCTATCCAATATGGTCAAGATTCTAAAGCCAGTGAAAGAGATGGGGACAGAGAGGTGAATGAAATTCCAGGATGTCTCAACATCCCTTCAAGGCCAATGCCTTAGCAACGCTTTTCTCTAAGTGTTTCCCTGAGCTCATGGATATGAGTAGATGGCAAAGCAGGATACTTGTACTTACCAATGCCATTTACTGAGAGGATGAGATGACAAACAAGCTTATTTTTAGTAAAGTTGGTGTGTAGAGAGGGCAGGTCTATTGGATCAGTGTTAGAGAAAACCAGTCCTCTCCTGGTGTCTGTCCTTTCCTTCTTTTGGTAGGAACAGAACTCCCAGTTTTAAGCTGAGCATGTAGCCACTTGGCCATAAGACTGAGTTCTTGCTGATGCAAATAGGTAAATTTGCCTAGTGGTAGCTCCTAGAGAGGCATTAGATGTGGGAGGCCATCCTCGCACGTGATTTGAATTACCTTCTTGGCTGGGCGAGAGGCGCTTAGACACATCCTTGTGTCCAGAGCTAGGAGAAGCCGTCCTGGAGCTGGTTTAAAGGTAATTAGAGTCTGTCTCTTTAATTCAAAACTCCTTAAGGATTTCTCATGTACTGAACCTTCATTTATGAAGCCTGTGCTGGCCGCGGGCTAAAATTAGGTGTATACACATACTTTCTTTCTCAAGCCTTTCTCTGGCTTGCTGCCTGAAATGCAGGTGCCACTATCTTGGTCAAGACCATGCTTGATAGAACCATTGGAGCCAAGTAGCAGCTACCACACCCCGTTTCATATGAGAGAGAAACAAACTTTTATCTTACCCATTAGAGGGCTGTTAGTCTCCACAGCTGACCGTAATCCTGAGTCATACAGCTGTCTAAGTTTCCCTCCAGAGTGCCATTCTCAGCTGCTCTGAACAATGTGCCCATTCCTGCTGACAAGTCATGGAAGCTTGAGTTAGTCTAAGATACTGCAGTTATTGTCCAGGTCGTTCTCCATGAAAGCCGAATGTAGTAAGGCTCCCTTATGGCCGGAATATCAAAAAGGGGAAATAATGGAAGTGAACGTAGCTTGAGTTCGCATGTTCCCTTAGTGGCAAAGACTTGTCCCCCTATACACCACTGCCCTCTGCTTTTGTGTTTCTGTCACTTGGACTCTAGATGTAGATGAATGATGACCACAGAGTTTCTAAAGGCTGAGAGGAGTGTCTACCATTCCTTGAGGCTGGTTTTTATTTTTAGAGAAGTGACACATATAAAAATGTTCAAGCAATACAAAACCATGTGTAGTGAAATATGCTCTGTGTGCCCAGTCCTACCACCCGTAAGTCCCTATGTGAAAAGCTTTCAAGGTATTCCCTAGAGATTTTTCCATGTGTGGAGAGCCCCTTTTCAAAAAATAAGATAGAATAAATTAAAAAATAAATATATATTGCCATTTATATAATATTTACTACATATAATCTCATTTTAAAATATAAATAAGCATATACTACATACTATAATATACTTTGCTTAAATGCAATCATACTTTTAAACATCTTTCCAAAATGGTGTATATGCATTGATTTCTATCAGACTGCACAGTACTGCATTGTGCAGTAGATGTAGCATAGTTTATTTAACCAGTTTCCTGTTAATGGACATTTGTTTGCAGAGTTTTGCTATTATAAACATTGCTGCAACAGATTTTCTTTCCCATACATCTGTGTGCCAACACATAGGTAGGAGAAAGCCATAGAACTGGAGTTGCTAGGTGAAATAGTGTGTATAAGCAGCTCCTTCTGCATTTTCAGTTAGTGTCCAGGCTGCTTTTAAACTCAGGTTCCCATTGGGAGCACAGCTGGACTTTAGTTTTGTTTCCTATTCACTTGTTTCTTTTGTTATTTGGGTTTCTATTCAGAAAGAGCATGGTATTTGACTTTTCAAAAGACAAATCAGAAGCAGGCGAGTGATCTGGTTTAGGATAATACTTTATTTGGGGCAAAAATTCCACTTTTTTGCTGAAAAGATGCTAGTAATTATTTTGAATTAAGGTATGGGCATAAGTTCTTGAGAAATGAGGAACCTAACTAATATCTTTAGGGGAAGAAGTTTCAGGAATACCATCTGCCAGACCCCAGACTCTAGAGAGACTATTCCACCACAAAGACAAAAGCGTCTTTGAATATTTTTGGAAATAAGAAGATACCTATAGAAGCGCTGGGAGAAGGTCCAAATTTAGGGCTCATTCAATACCTGTGGTATCTAACCTCACAGCCCTACATTTACCACTCCTCCTGTCTCCTCAAAATCTTTGCAGAAACCACCTTAGTAGGAGAAGTAGCAATGGAAGGGTTTGTGCATTCTCCCCCAAGCCCAGCTTGCTGCTGGCCAGATGCTTAAAATGAAACTTTGGAATCTGTACATCTTTGTGTCCTTTTTGCCTCTGCTCTTTTAATGTTCTCATCCTCCCTAGACTCCTTCTAAATTAGACAACTTCCTGATACCGAAGAAGGACCAAGCAAGTTAGAGCATTTCCTTCTTAACTGGCCAAAGGGCTGCATGGGAGCCTGAGTCCTGTCCTCTTTTCAGGTGACAGGCCTTGCTGGGCTTTCCTGTAGAGGCTGTCTTGGAAGTAGGTAGCACCCTCTCCTGGGCTAAATCCAAATGTTTTCTGTCTGTCCTGAAGTCATCCAGGATAATAACCACATTTCCCTTTCTCTGGCAAGCTTTGCCCCATCACTGCCCCCTCCTGGCCCCTTCTATTTTTTATTTGAATGCCACACTATTCCTTCAAATCCAAAGGAGTAGCTTTGGAGATCCTAAGGAGCAGAAATTTATTTGAGTATTTACTATGTGTAGACAAGGACATGATTGTAACTATAAAAAAATTAAAATAGAAGCTTGTAGTCAGTATAGATAGGGAATATGAAGAGTGAATAACTAAATGTAGATGAAATACTATTTTAAAGTTATCAGGCAACACAGGTGCTAGAGGATTCTCTGCACACGGTGGAGACCCTAGAGCAGGGAGGTGATGCTTGTTGCCTAGCAGTCTCTTCAGGACTTTGGGAAAGGAGTTGCCCAAAGGCAAGGTAGGTCCTCTCCCCTGGGAACTCTCTGGAAAGAGATGCATCTGAAGGTTCTTTTATTGAATGAGTTAACA